TTTCTTTGCACCATGAGTTTAATACCCCAATGATTTTACATAATAAACTGATGAACATAGACCAACTTTCTCAAAAATTATGAGCAGGTTTCTACTTTAAGGTGTTTCATTTGTATGTCGCCATTTTAAAGCAATTTCCTATTTATATACCAAAGATCACTGTCAAAGTATATTAATGTAGTATATATTACAGTCATTTCTAAAATGTAAATTCAGGAATTATGTATGCGATTATTTGTTGCAAAAACTTCTCATGATAGTAGGGTATGTTTTATAGATCTCTTCTGTCTGTAAACAAAATTGAGAGCTATCATTCCATAGTTGTATTAGTTGACAATATTTGACTGCAAAGATGGAGGTAGTGATTGTGTTTTATTGATTTTTAATATTTTATTACAAACAAAATGCTGTTGTTCACAGCATGCAGCTGTTAATTTGGGTTCTATTGTTTTTAATATTGATAACCTTTTCACCACTGGTCCCTCTTTTCATCACAAAATAGTCCCATTTATAGTCTGAACTTTTCTTCAAAAGATTAGTACAAAAATAGCCCAAAACTGAAAATTTACTAAAATTTTGTCTGTTGGCTCCAAAATTAAGGTTTGTTTCCAAAAATTTTGAAGAAGATATAAAAAAAAAAAAGGTGCAGACAAATTCGGTGTCTGGTGGTGAAAAGATTTGTCTGCAAGTCTGAATTGATGAATAGTAATGTATTAAAGGGTTATTTTGGTGCATTTGATGGATAAAAAAAAGTTGTATTTGTTATATCCCGATAACATTTAACTGCTAAAAAGAGTTTCTTTAGTTTACCAACCAATTGCTATTAAAGAGTTGTTTTGGTTTTCAACATCACTTAAAAATGTTTATTTGATGTAGGTTTTCATTGTGCAGTACTGTTCCATTTTGGAAGCTGATTCTGCTGTTATTTCTGTTCTTTGTAGTAAATTCTTACATTTGTTGAGTGATATTCAAAGTTACATCTTTATTGTATAGAAACAGTACATTCTTACCGTCTATTGTCAGTCACAATTGATAATGATTCTAGTCAAAAAAAAGTCCAGTCTTATGGAGGTTTGAAGAAAATTAAAGATTATATATCCTGTTTGTCATACTTTTATTATTATGAGTTCATACCATTAGAATACCGATAATATAAAAATTAAAGAATAATTATTTGAGATACAAGAGTCCAAAATATCATGGAGATTGGTGAAAATGTTTACACTGGTTTCTATGGTGAGATTATTTATTTATATCTCAAAGTTTTCTTGGGGGCATGAGATAAAAAAGTTGTATATTATTATTGATACATGTATATGAAATTTAACGTTGTGAAATCATTTCAAAAATTTACATATTCATATACAATGAGAGGTTATCTCCCACAATGCATTGCATATATTTATTCAGTAAAATGCTCTGTAGTACAAAACTTTAATTTGGCTCAAACTGCTTTGAATCTTGTTTTTAAGAATATTACTAGTGTTAACTAAGGACCCTTTTCTTTTGGTGTCACATTGAAAAATTAAAACTTATTTTCAGCTGATTATGTATTAGCTTATTATCGCTGAAATCATTGACTTGAAATTAGTTATTTTTGTTTTGAATATTTTGTGTTAGAGGCACAAATATAACATGTGTTTCTGTTTTATTTTATGACAATGTCTGTTCTTTGCTCAGGTTGGTTTTATTCAATGTGTATGTTAATTTATTCTGTCACTGGTTTGTTTATATTTCTCTAATTCCATGTACATGTAGGATTATTTTTTCGAAGAAGCAATTTTGGTTTTTATAGACAGTGGACTGAACATTGAAAAATGCCCAGGAGATGAGAAATGTGACATACTGCCAGACATTGCACATTTCATCATTTCAGTATTTTTGTATTTCCCGTAATCTGATTTGTGGTTATAAATTTGAGGAATATTCATCATACAACAGACAACACTCTTGGCATCCAACGCGGATAATCCAGTTGGCAAGAAATAAATCAAAACATTTTTTTAAGAAGGCATTAAATATATTTTCATAAATATTGGATTTGAAAGTATTAGTTTCAGCACTGCTGTACTAAACGCAATTTCTATATTTGCACTTCATGCTGAATAATTTTTGAATAACTATGTTAACCTTTTCACCACCAGACTTCCTCATCCAAAATTTTTCTGCACTTTTTTCTCATATTCTTCAATATTTCTAGAATTGAACCCTAATTTTGGAGCCAACAGACAGAGTTTGAGTCAAGTTTCAGTTTTTACTCAAAAAATTTGGTTATTTTTGTTCCATTCTTCTGAAGGAAAGTGCAGACTATAAACAGGCTATTTTGTGAATTTGTGATGAAAAGAGGGTGGTGGTGAAAAGGTTAAGGTGATTTGTGTCAAATTAAAGATTATATGTCATGTTTGCCTAACTTTCCGTATGGGTTTACGCCATGAGGATACAGAAAATTAAACAAACAAAAAATGTGGGTCACCGGACAAATTTTCAAGATACAAGAGTTCAAAATGTCATAAACAATGGTTAAAATTTCCATTCTACATTTGTTTGTATTGTGAGATAATAATATCCCCAAAAGTCTTAAATCATAATCTTAAACATGATAGTTTTTATTATACTGGGTATATGATAGGAAGTTTTCTCCCACAATGCATTGCATGTATGTGTACATACTAACAAGTAGTGCTATATTTGAAGTCAGCTCAAACTTGCTATTTTCTCTGCCCACAATTCAGTGCAAATATTTTCACATTTTGTAAAATTTTCAGTAAATTTTATCATCATTTTGGACCATACAGACAGTTTTAGATATTGCTTTTAGTTTTTGATCAAATGGTTTGTCAATTTTTACCATCATTCTTTGTGAGAAGCAAACTGTACAAAACTATTTTGTGGATGGAACCAAAATTTGACAATGGTGCTCAAAATGCTGAATCACTGGTTTATTTGGTCATCACCTAATATATTCCACTACATTACAATAACAGATTGTTTGATTTCATTTCATTTACCACAAGTGAATCCTCAACCAGTGTATTCACCAAATACCTGTCTGTCTGTCTGTCAACTTCACAATTATTTTTGTCTGTTTTTTTTTGTTTTCTGTTCTTTGACAATTTTGTCAAATGCCCAAATTTATTCTTTTAGCATATTTTTGACAGGCACATTCAAATACCCTTCCCTCAACTATTAAATTGTTGAAATGCATCTATTTCTTTACACGTGATTTCAAATATTTCAAAGAAAATTTAATTAAATCATTG